TGTGTGTGTGTGTGTGCGTGTGTGTGTGTGTGTGTGTGTGTGTGTGTGTGTGTGTGTGTGTGTGTTTTCCTGTGCGGGGGACTTCAGCACGCGACTGTGTTTGGTCTTAAGAAGCACACAAGATGGCCACCATCGCCAGTTGACGTCAACTTGACGAGTGTACACACTCCGTCATACTCAGAACGCATTCGTAGCGTAGCGTGCCTGACGCGCACCCTTCCCATCATTCAGGAGGGACTGGAGTGTAACCGCTGCCTCGAGGCTCGAGCTTCATCCTGACCTCGGCTAGCACTCTTTCTCGTCCGACCCATCGGGGCAATCCCACTTGCCGTCACATCGCGCTCCAAGTACGCACCGCTTGCCGTAACACTTGACTCGATCTTTCGGGCACTCGTACTGTTGGCAGAACTCCTCCCTCTCGTCACTGCCGTCGTCACACTCCGCCCAGCCGTCACAGTAATGTCCGTAAATGGCGTTGGCGGGGTCACTAGTGCAGGTTATTTTATGGATCTTTTCCAGCATGTCGCGTGCCTTCTTCGACGTGCAGAACGTCGGGTCAAGGTGCGTGTCCAGGTAGCAGTTGTCCCGAAGAATAGAATCGCACAGAAAACCGAGATCCAAGCACCAGACGTACTCCAAGCCGGGGCACGAAATCGACGGAATGCCCTCCTCCCCCGAGTCGGAGCAGTTATGCCTCCGGCAGTAGGCGGGATTCTCGTCCGACCAGTCGGCGCAGTCTGGTCGCCCATCGCAGACTTGTGATGGAGAGATACACTGGAAGCCGTTCTTGCACTTGATGACGTGTCCATCAGCTGTGCAGTTGAAGCGGCGACAAAACGCAGGATCCTCGTCCGATCCGTCGTTGCAATCCTCGATACCGTTGCACAGGATGAAAAAGGCGCACTGCGTTCCACTCGGACACTTTGTCCCCCACTTGCACGTCTTCGTCGCACAGTCGTCCTCGTCCGTTCCTCCCGGACAATCTCTCACTCCGTCGCACACTTGACTCTCTTCGATGCACGTCCGGTTGCTTCCACCTTCGCACTTGACGCGGCCGAATGGACAGTTGATCTTCTCACAGAACTCTCCCTCGTCGTCGCCGTCGGGGCAATCCTGCTTGCCGTCGCACATCTGCTGGCGCTTGATGCACCTGCCGGTGCGACACTGAAAAAGATTAGTGAGACCGGCCGAAGAGCAGCCGTGCTGCTTGCAGAACTCGTCGCTCTCGTCGCTGCCTCCATCGAAAGCGCAGTCGACTTCGCTGTCGCACAGCTGCCGCTCGTACACGCACCCACCCTTTCCACCTGCACACCGCACTCTGCGGCCACTTGGCTCCCACCAGTTGAGCGGCATGGGCAGCTTCTTGTGCGCCACGTCGCGGTTGCAGTCGTATGAAGCACAGAAGCTCTCGTCTTCGTCTGACCCATCAGCACAGTCGGCTACGCCGTTGCACAAGTATGTTGTGTACGGACCGCTGTCGACATAAATCCAGTGGCCGTATATTCCCGTGGAATTCATGCACATCTTCCCGCTCGGACACGTGTAGCGACCGGTCCCTTCGCAATCGAACGACTTGCAGAACTGCCCCTCATCCGACCCGTCTTCGCAGTCCTCGACCCCGTCGCATTCCTGCTTCGGCCGGATGCATTGCTTGATGCCGCTCCTACACCTCTTGAAGTCCCGGAAGCAATAGAACGCGCTGCCTTCCGCGATGCCGTTGGGTTCATACTCTCTCACGCCTGGGGCCGACTCCGAGAACATCCGCGACGAAACCGCCAATACTTGAGCGCCGAAAGTTCCAGCGAGGAAGAACAAGCACAAGGCACTAGCGCACCAGCGGAAAAGAAACGCAACCCCCCCTCTTTCCCCCATTGGGGAGGGGAGGAGAGGACAACTCGCCCAAACCTCGTTAGGTCGCTCCAAAGCTCAGTTGCGCACGTCAAAAAAAAAAAAAAAAAAAAAAAAAAAAAAAAAAGAGCTCAGCTGCGCACGTGACGGACGTGGAGAACGGGTGTCATAGCCGGGGAGTAGAGACGGAGCAGACTCGGCGATGGCGACAACAAGGAGAGAACCTGCAGCCACGAGTGACGAAATGAGGAAGGGAGGTAAGAAAAGAACATGAGGAGGGGGGCGGGGGGGAGAGAGAGAGAGAGAGAGAGAGAGAGAGAGAGAGAGAGAGAGAGAGATGCGAGGATTCACCGCTCTGCTGGCCTGGTTAGATCGGCTAGTAGTCGCTCTTCCTCGTCCTCCCCCGCACTACGTATTCCGGGAGCGAGATTGGAATTATCCAGATTCTTCGTGTCTGACCTTCCATAGCAAGATTAACGGCCAGGCACGAAGATACAGCCTAATGGGGCTTCGCCCCCAGTAAGAGATGAGAGCAAGTGATGGGTCGCAGCGACGTGTACTGTGCAGCGGTTTTTTTTTTTTTTTTTTTTTGGGGGGGGGGGGGGGGGGGGGGGGGGGGGGGGGGGGGAGGGAGGGGCGCTAGAGCCACGCTGCACTACTCTCCACTCTCCGAGTTCAGAGAGCTTTTTATCGCTCCACTAATTATCCGATTCCACCCCTCAAAAAGCATCGGATAGCTGTCAGAAACAGCTGCCTTGGAAAAGCACTGTCCGCTGGTAGAGAGTGCCCAGCTGAGTGCCAAGCCTCAGGGCCTCGCCACACCACTCTTGAGGGCCTCGCCACACCAATGTCGAAAACTGAATTTTCGACATTTTCTCCTCGCCAACAGCTTGTCGAAATCCAAGATGCAAAAAAAATTCAGGAGCTGCCAGGGAAAGGGTTTGGACACCACCTCTCGAGACGGGCTCGTTTCCGATGGGATGTCGAATTCTTGCCCGAATGTCGAAAAAGAGAACGCACCAACGCTTGTCCTATCTTCAGCCCAGTTTCTCTGTTGTACACAGGACTTGTGAGTTCTTCACTTCTACATCCTGTGTGGCGAAGAGGGGTTTTCTGTCGAAAGAGGGAATGTCGAAAATCTCCTGACATATGTCGAATTTCATGATGTTTCTACATGGTGTGGGGAGGCCCTGAAACGGGGAAATTTTTCAGGAGCTGTCAGACGTTCTCAAGAGTTGGGTCTTCAAGAGTTTTCGGCCCCTCGCCACACAGCACTCTCGAAAGTGCAATGGTGTTAGACAGAGGATGAAAAACGGCAGTCATACAGCTTTGTTTTTTTTCGAATGGAGTCAGGATAACGGCCTGACAACTCTTGAAAATCGAAAGTCCCTCAAGGGTTCGGGCAAGGACGCTCAAGGACGCTTGGAAACGCACGAGTTGCAGGCTGGGGTTTCCCATCTTTCAAGAGCTGCTCTTGAAACGGTTTCAAGAGCCACTCTGACAGCTCTTGACTGCCCCAAGTGTCAAGAGGCTGTGTGGCGATGCAGCAACTCTTGAAAAAGAGTTTTCAAGAGTGGTGTGGAGAGGCCCTCAGCCTGCAATGGCGTTTTTCCGGATGGACCTCTGCCCGAATCTCCAAAATGCGTGTGCCTTGAGTCTGGGGGGACAAAGTGCAAAGTGCAAATGGCGCCTTGTCCTCCAGTGCTGTCAGTGTGTCACCCTGTCTGCTAGTGCACTCACGAATTAGGGGAGAGCTGAAAGCTCTCCGTGAACTCTCCGATTTTTCGGAGAGAGGAGAGTAGTGCAGCGGCCTTAGGTAATGCCAAATTTCTTTTGGGGTGGGGGAGGGGGGAAGGCGTGAGGGGTTACATTCCATAGTCTCAAATACCACCTATGTGACACCCTCAGACTCGGATCCCGCGTCCTGGGAGGCGGCCCAGGGCCGCAACCCCGCAGCCTAGGCTGCACACCCGAGTTTCCTTCCGACAGCGCCACACCCGAGTTTCCTTCCGACAGCGCCACTGTCAGGCGGACCCACACCCCGGATCCCGCGGCCTAGGAGGCAGCAGAGGAGGCCGGCAGCAACCCTGCGGCCTAGGCCGCGCAGCCGAGTTTCCTTCCGACAGCGCCACCTATGTGACACCCTCAGACGCAGATCCCACCGCCTAGGAGGTGGCCGAGGAGGCCGGCTGCAACCCCGCAACCTAGGCTGCTCAGCCGAGTTTCCTTCCGACAGCGCCACTGGCAGGCGGAGCCGGACCCCAGATCCCGCGGCCTGGGAGGCGGCCGAGGAGGCCGGCGGCAACCGCGCAGCCGAGTTTCCTTCCGACAGCGCCACTGGCAGGCGGAGCCGCATCCCAGAGATCAGGGCACACGCACCGCCTGCGCAGGTCCCCCAGGCCCCGGGTGTTTAATATTTCGTTTTTAGAGGGGTGTTAGAAAAAATAATGCTGGCAAGAAGTGTGACGTAAGACTTTCCATAGTACATAAAAATGGAAGGGAAACAGTCAGTAGTCTTGCCAAACTGATGGAGAGCCGTGTGCTTGGAAATCTTGCACAACGGTTCGGAGGGAAGCTTAGTCAGATTACACACACTGCTTACCCTATCTATTGGGTCCGATGGGTCGTTGGTTCGAATCCAACCTCGAACAAGATTGAAAAAAACAGCGAAGAATCCGAAGATGAAAAGAAACATGAAGAAAAAGATGAAGAAAAATCTCTCTCTCTCTCTCTCTCTCTCTCTCTCTCTCTCTCTCTCTCTCTCTCTCTCTCTCTCTCTCTCTCTCTCTCCCTCTGTCTGTGTCTG